ATAAATTTGACTAAATATTTTTAAAAAATTGGATTAAACTTATGAGAAAAAATTATAATAAATAATATATTAGATTATATTTTAAATTTATAGAATAGATTGCACTTTTATATTTAAAATCTGGTTTATTCTTGATCCTAAATTAACAAAAAAAAAACGACAAAACAAATATCTAATATGATAAAGTACTAGAGTCAAAGTTGAATATTCATAAATGGAAAATATGACTTTCAATTCAAGGTTGGAGAGGGAGTGCTGTAACAAGGTTGCTGACTAGTGACTGCTTAGACGAGGAAGGAGGAGATCGAAAGGACAGAGAAAATCAAATCAATTGGATGCCATGTCATGCCCCGACCTGGCCTTTGTCATTGGATCAGATCTACTGTTTCACACTAGTGTTCCCTTTCACCTTTTAAATAACCTTAGGTTCATCACCATTTTCCAAAAAAAAAAAAAATATATATATATATATATATATAAAATACTCATACAAAAGATAAAAGAAACTATAATTAATATTAGTTTGTTTTTAACAAATTAACTTATGCACTTTAAATTTTAGAAAAATTATAAGAGAAATCTTCTGTAAAAATTAAGTGTATAAGTTAATTTTAGTTTATAAAATGTGTTTAATTTTTTGAGCTTCTTATTTTATTTTCTTATAAGTATTTATGAAAAATTTATTAAGAGAACCTTCATTGGTTTTCAAAATCAATTTTTATGCATTGTTATTGAGAAGTTTATACACATATATATATATAATTATTTAAATATATAAATTATATTTAAAATTTGTATTAAAAAAACTTAAAATATTTGTAATACAATATTATTTTCAATTTATTTTGAGATTATTAAAATTTAATTTATAAATAAATTTTTTTAAATTAATAAAATTCTTTATATTCAAAACAAAATACCTAAAAACACTTTCTTTAAAACAAATTCCTAAAAAATATTATAAGTTATAATTAGTTTAAAAAGTATACTTTTAAAGAAATCAATATGAGAGTTTATTGGATACACAAAGTCTCTTTTAGTATAAGACCTTTTAGATAATGGTAAAATGTAAAATCATAAAATTTAAACTCAAAATAGATAATACCATATCAATGTAATGACATGTGTGTAAACACATTATACGCAACAATTAATATTAGAGTCAATAATTTTGTAGTCTGACCTATTTAAAGCTTAACCTACTTTGACATATTTAACAATAGGTCAAGTTTATTTTTTTTAAAAATCTATTTATTTTAAAAATTTGAACTTTTACTTATATAAAATTTTTGTTAGATTTGAAAAATCAACATATTTATCTATATAATATAATAAAATAAAAAAGTTAATGTACATATTACATTATTAACAATGTAATTAAATAAAAAATTATAATATAAAAAACAAATTATCATTTTTTTTTATATTTTCACCTTTAAAAGAAATAAAAAATAGAAATTCTAATACTTTGTCCTTCATCTTCATGATTGTTTGTCAACTTTTATATATTAAACATGAATTTGTATGTTGCACAAAAGAATTTTCAGGAATTTTTCTTCAAAAAAAATACTTTTAGGGATTTTTTTATATAAATATTATCTGATTTAGTTTTAATTTATCATAATTATTCATGGATTATATTTTAATATTTTAAAAAAATTATCTATAAAAATAATATTGTGTTATAATATAAAGTATTTATCATAAATCTAAAATATAATTTATATGTTTAAAAATATTTATTTCTATAAATTTTAAATATGATTTATATATTCATACATAATATTTATTTCTATGTATATTTTATTGCAAATTTTATTTATATATAATAAATATTTATTCTGTGCATTGCACATGTTAAAATACTAATTTAGTATATTTCAAATTTGATATGTGAAATATGTAGAATTTTTTTTACAATATTAACCCTTTTCATCATAGTTTGTGTCTGGATGTATATTAGTGTACATGAATATGTATAAGTTATCCCTTTTATATTAGTTTTTTTTTTCTTTTAAAATATAAAATTTAATAATAATATAATAAACTAATTTTATCACACAAATAAAAAGATATTCATATGTGCATTAAAAATAGATTTATTGACTTATGTAAAATTAAATTGATTAGTATATTTAACTTAATATAAAATACTTTTTTAAACAAACTAATAAGTTATATCAAATTTTTAAATTGACTAATAGGTTAGACTATTTTTTTAAAAAAAATATGTTAAAATATAAGAAAAACCCTAGGTAATATATTATATTAAAATTTTTAATTTATAGAACAAGTTTGAGTTTTATACTCCAAGTTTGACTTATTACATTCCTAATTGCGAGTTAACGAAGGAACACGAATCAAGTATCTTAAAGATGACTAATTGCTCTAAAAACTACCATTGAATGCTTGTGAATTGTAAAAATGACTTTTGTTGTTGCGAGCTAACAAATGAGCGACTATGCAAGTATTTATAATACGATAAAGTATTAAGTATCACAATTAAATGTTTGTAGATTGAAAATTTAACTTTTCTTAAAAGATGAACATTTGTTTAAGATAAAGATCGTTGAAAATATAAAAAATCTCATATTGTTAGAATAACAGGAAAAATACAAAATTATAAGTATAAAAATATTTTTATTGATACAAATTTTTTTAGGCAATTGAGCAAAAATAAGTTCACAAGCTCAAAATTAAGTTGTGATAGGTCTTGAGTCAACTTCAAAAGTATGATCAATGGATGTAAGATAGACAGTAAAACTAAAATTTCATATTTTTAAAATTATGAGATTAAATGTCTTTAATTTATAATAAAATAAATCATAAAAAGGTGAAAAAAAATGCAAATTAAAAGAAAGAAAAGTACAATTTATCTGAATAAAAAACAATTTTTACATACCATATTCATATTAAATTGATTTGTTTATAATTAGTTGTATAAATAATAAAATAATTTTAAAAAAATTTATGACTAAAATATGATTTTAATCCTTTATTTTTATTTTAGATTTTAATTTAGTCCCCTAAATTTAAAAAGTTTCATTATGACCTCTTAAAATACTTTTATTACTCAATTGGTCCTTTTATCAACCTTTTGTACTAATAGTATTAATTTTGACAAACATAACATCTTCACATACTGACACGTGTTATTAAATTGATTAAATTAGTGAGATAAATTGTCAGAAGGATCAATTCAATCTCCCAAAGATACCTAGGGGATCAAAGTAAAATATTTTAAATTTAAAAAAATCAAACTCAAACCTAAAATGTAAATAAATGATCAAAATTATATTTAAGCTTAAATTTAAAAATATTTCACAATAATATATTTAAAATGGTATTTAATAGTCAAACTATTTAATATATTTATCAATTAATAAACATTATAGTATTATTTTACATTTGTACATTTATATTTTAAAGTAGACCGCAAAAACTATACTTTGTTGACAGAATTTAAATTATTTTTTTAAGTATTTGAGTATATATACACACATACACATACATAATAATAATAATAATAATAATAATAATAATAATAATAATAAAATATATATAATAAGCATAGCATATATAGAATTATATGCTGTTATATAATAATGTATAATATGACATAAATTATTATATACTTAAAAGTAACTTATTATTAAATAGACATTATTATATATAATATAAACAATATATAATTCTATCTACAAATTTTATTTAAAAATAATAAAAAATAAAAAATAAAAATAATAGAAGTAACAATATAAATCAAGTGAAATAATGTACAAGTGCTTGCAAAATAATTTTAAACAAAAATATTGACTAAAGGTGATTACAAAATAAAATATATATAAGTTTTAATTTAACGAAAGACTTATTTTTAAAATAAGTAAATTACCTCTTATTATTATTATTTTTATTATAATAATAATAATAATAATAATAACATAAATATAAAGAGAAAAAGAAAGGAAAACATCAAACTTATCATAACTATCCATAAGATTATATTAAATTAAAATAAACTAATATTATATTAGCCAAAAAACAGTTAATTATAATATAATGAAATAATTATATTATTCATATTTTAAGTTTTTAACTACCCACAATATTATTATTTCAAAATGAGAACCTACTTTAACCTCTAAGTGATTCCATCCATTTAATCTCTCATTGAGATATTCAAGGAACACCAGTCGAGGCATAATTTAAAAATTAGTAGGTTGGAATTTATTTTTGGTATCTAACAAAAAAAAATCTTCAAACTATATTAAAAATTAGTAGACTGCTTATACGTTCTACAATTAATTGTATATTTAGTATTTTTTAATAGTTATCAGCACAGGTTTTGCACATCCCATTTATTCTAACACCCAAACTTTTTTTAATATTACATTCATTTATAGTTATTTAACATTTAATTTTTACTTGTTCCAAACAACATTAATAATTAAATAACTTTTTAAATAATGGGAAGAAACAAATCAAAATACTGATGAAATATGTTAACATTACATAACATAACACACCATAGTGAAGATAAAATATTACAAAATAAGTGATCATTGAGCGCAGGTGCCTCATGAATGAAAGGGATATCCGTCAAAAAGCCCTCCTCATGAATGAAAGAGATATCCGTCAAAAAGCCCTCCTCGAATGCTTGTGCAACAGCCTTAGGCCTCTACTATCATTGAGTGTTCATAATACTTTTCCACATTCATTTGAGAGGATGGATCAGAATCTCCGGGGGCCAGGCTTGATTTGTATTGAAGGAATTCTCACCATTGATAATTTAGATTTTCATCTTGTATTTTATTTTATATCTCATTTTCACTTATTTTGTCATATTTCATGCTATGTTAACTAACTTCTTATAAGTATGATAATTTATTTTGATTTGTTTCATATTTGTGACTCATTATTTAACGAGTTAAAATTATTTAAAATAAACAAAAATTAAGCACCAAAATTAATTAAATATTTTTTTAAAATTAATCATCCTAGTAAAAATATTTAAATTAAATTATTTGTATAAATAAGTTAGATACACAAAAAAACATGGTTCTACTGTATATAAGCTCCAACTAACACAACAAAACAAGTTTTGTCTACAATGAAAACGTGTTTTCATCAGGTATTATTATTCAATCAATCCCCCAATTTTCAATTATGATACAACTAAATCAAGATTTCAAAATAAATTTTATACAGCAAAAACATATTTTACTCAAGGATATTTTTGACAATTTTTTTAAAAAAAGTAAGTGTAAGAATAGAAAGTCTAAAATAAGATTTTGGTCCTTTATTTTAGTTTTCGGATTTAGTCAAATCTCCTAAGTTTAAAAATTTTCATTTTGTTTTCTCACTGTGTTTCTGTTAGACAAATTAGTTTTTCCACTAATATTGTGACCAAGAGTATAAATTTTTGTTAATGTGGCATTTCTAATAATTTATCACGTTGGACCAAATTGACAATTTAAAGGATGAGATTTATGCAGATTATCACAATCCTACATTATGCTTGGAGAGACCAAAAAGTTGCTGGTTACGTAATTCACTATCACCCAAAAGTACCCTAGTACAACTATACTTAAAATTGCAAAGAAGACGTATTTCTTCTTATCTACCACCCTAGTACCCTACATGTTCTGCATTTCAAACGTTATCCCTCCAAATCCTTTCTACTTCCTATCCATGGCTTTGGCAGACCACCACCAAGAAACATGTTTTATACTTTTAAATTTTAATTCTTTTAAATATATGGTTGAATCCTCAGGATTTAAATTAGGTTTACAAGGGAAGCCATAAAATACAAGGACAATGTTTTTTTTCTTTTTCTTTCAAATAATAAAAATTGAGATTTTCTTAAAATTTGTTATTGAATAAATAAGAATTTCTTCCCTTCAAAATTTTAAATTTTTAAATTTTTTCCCTCAATCTCTAAGCGACTTTGATTTTTCCAGCCTCCAAGTTAATACATTTAAATTTAAATAAACTATAAGAAAAAGGCCTTTCATGATATTGCTATTTATTAGGTCTTTAAGTTTTTTTTTTTTTTTTTGAAAAAACGACCAAGATTGCTTTTTTATTTCCCCCAAAACTTAAACTAAAATAATCCCAAACATAAATTTAATTAAAAAAATATTTTCTTTAAAAACACATAAAATGAGCCTTATATTTATGGCTAATATTCATGGGTATTAAGATTTTATCGAGTATTCAACACATGACCGCATATCTCAATTACTGATTCTCTTTTGACTAGGTTTCTTTATTATGTTTAATATTTTTAAAGAGCGATCCTTATATTTTTATATTATTTTTTTTTAATTTCAACTTTATAACTTTTTACTTATTTCACAATAACCATAATTTATACATTCTAAATCTTTTTATTTGTGATATTGTTTTTTTTTAACGTTGTTCCTTGTCCTAAGATACAATCAGACATACACACATAATCACAACATAAAATTATTTCTATTGGTATCGTTTGCAGTAGCTTATTGTTCCATTTATTATTGTCCATTAAAACAATACTCTAGTACAACCTACGACATGGATAGTAATTTTCTATCATAAAACGTAAATGTTCACATTAGAAAGGAAACTGATAAACTAGATGATGTCTCCCACAACATAATATGATTATGAATTGTCTTGGTTATATTAAGTACACAATCTAGAAAGTTTTAGTAATTTGTCATGAGGATTATGAATGCATTTTAATCCTGATAAATCGTCCATAGTTATCTTTTTGCCACAAAAACTTTCCTTATAATATATATTTTATACTTATCCTAAAATAAAAAAAAACTTGGCTACCCCTGACCTTACGCCCAAAACTGCCTTACATTTTCCAACTACACTGCTGAGTCAACCAGAATCAGTTCAGTGTAAGAAAAAACACGATTTTCCTCCGCCTCCCCCTAAATTTTCAATCCCACTCCATAGTTACCGTTGCCACTTGCAACCACTTAATGTATATATAAAAGGTCCAGAAGTTTTTTCCTATCGAATTCAGTTTATTTGTTTGTTAAGTATTTAATCCTCGACTAGTTTTTTATTCCCATTACAAGCCAACTAGATTTTCTTGCAGTCTGTCTCTATTTTGAGGAGGTACATGCATCAGCGAAGAGAGAAATTATCATTATTGTAATCAACAGCTTCAGAACATTTTTATAACTCATTAAGAGGCCAACAAAAGAGCTCTCTTGTTTATAGGAGGGTTACGTTGTAAGTATTGTTGCCCCTATAGAGTTCAAAATCACCCTCTCAAAATGAGTGCACTATGACACGAGGGTTACTCATCCTACATTCCTACTGGATCATAAAATTTGTATCATTGTTAAAATTAAAATAACCATGGCATATTTTACCACAGAAGGAAAACAATAAAGATCAAAGAGATATCATTCATTTATTCAATAGATAAAACAGCCAGCCTAAGGGGCAGGCTGTTTTTGGGTTAAGAAGGAATCTGTTATCATAAATTATTAAGATCGAAAATCACGAACCTGATAAAAACACAATGACAGGGTAGAGATTGAAGCCCAGAATCGCCAATCAAGAAGTCTATCTCACCGCTTCAATGAGCGCTCCCAACATTGTGCAATAGAAAGACGGGATAATCTTTAACTAAGAAGAAGCGGTTCTAGGAAATAATACAAAAAAAAAAAAATCCAACAACCTCTAAATTAGAAGAATTTTAAATTATTGTCACTATTACCACTACATACTATCTGAATCCAAATATAGACTGCAGGTTACTTAATCAAAACCAGTGCACCATAGTGGAATATCCTTAAATATATACTAATGAAATGAATATATCCTTTCCATCTGTCATAAAAGGTTACCATAAACCTAAACTGATCATAGAGTCCACTCCCCAGGTCTCACACCAACTATGAATTTAGACTTTGAAACTTCGGATTTCACACCAACTAGGTTGTCAAAAGGCAACATAACATAATTGACTGAGCATGACATGAATCAATGATACAAATATTGTTTTTTAATTAATTAAAAAAACATGTATAGTAATTTTGGTACACCAATTCTATCATCATTATATAGAAAACTCATATTTTCATGTAATTTTTTCCATTTCATAGGCTGGCACAAAATACCCTAGATATTTTGAAAAGTTGTATCCCCGTATTGTATTTAGTCAACAAGTTCATAAAAGAATTCTTCTTAAACCAGAGGCTTATATCACCTAGTTAGTGTTATGAAATACATCATGCTAAAAGCCAGCCACCAATCTGCCCACAGTCCTCTCAAAACAACATTACAACTCCCAAGGATGAACTGCATCAATATATAGGGTAATAAAGAATAACTAGCTCATAGCCTTATAGTGCTCAAATGTGGGAGATAATAACAAAACTATTGTGTACACTCTTTTCTACTTCATCCATCAATCAAAATGAAATTTTGCTTCATAGAAGTAAAATATGGCAAAGTTTGAATAAATTGTCAGATAATATTGCTTTGATCATTTACTCTAGGTTGATGGTAGACTACAATCATGTACTAGTTACTCCAATCTAACAGAACAGTAACATTTCTCCTAGTCCACAGGAAACCAAGGATTTGTATGGATACTTATAAAAATGTATGTCAAGGTAATTCTCCTAACATTCCTATATTGGGAATATCCAAATTTAGTGCTGAAATAACAGACTGAAAATTTTACAATTTGTTGGAATCATCGACAAATGATGTTTACAATTTCCCATTATTAGAATTCCAAAACCCAATCAAGGTAGTCAAAGGTGAAAGTCACCAGACCCCCAATTGTTGAGGTAAGAGGTACCAAAGATGCACTCCTAATTTGGGGAAAAAAGAAGGAAACTACAAAGAAATGAAAGTACTATAAGCAATAAAAAAGACTTCAATGTGATTGAATTACTTAAAATTAAATTTACATAAAATGGTAATGAATAAAGATGGAGTTTAATGAATGGTCATAAGTAGTTTCAGTTCAATATTAATTTTCCAGTCTTAATGATGCATCATGTCTTTTGTTTAGAGCTTATTTTTTTTTATTCTTTTATTCAATAACAACTCTCGTCTTCTCAACAGTTAATTGCTATTTAATTAACATATTTGAACGTTCTCTCTCTCTTTTTTTTTTTTTTTTATCTCACTAAATTTAATCTTCTATCACCTTTTTACCATTTTCCCCAAAGAACTAATTCACTCCTTTCCTCGAACTAAACATCATCCTTAATTGAGAGCTACGGCTGAGGATGTTTGATACATTCAAACTTAGTAAAATAGGTAAGAATGGAAGTAATTAATGGGGATTTTACTGGAGTAATATATAGTTCAATTTCAATTTGTTTACATCATTTTTTATTATTTCTGAATTTAAAAAATAGGGGATCTGAGCAATCTTCATTTTGTCGGTTGCAATCTAGTTTTTTTCATCTTAAGAATCAGAATCACAAAAACAGCTCAACTCCTGCAGATTTTAAGTGATTGTAGCCAAAATTCAGTCTGTTCCAAGCATTTGGATCACCAGAAATAAATATGCTAAAGTTTGCTAGGGCAGCAAAGCCAAATGTGAAGAAAAGAATTGTGTCATAAATATCAATGCAACACCCTTCCATCAGCTTGGTTTAGCACCTCAAACATCACTGAACCCAATAGGTCATTACTTATGGCACTTGGGATGTGTGTAGAGGAAATATAACTTTGTAGAGACAATTTTTGTAAATATAATAAATAACTTAAGAAAAAATCCTTATAGTATGATGGGTAAGTGGTATAGCTTTATGGTTAATTTGTAATGACTATTTTGATCTCTTCTGTTAGCTATAGTACAAACAAATGTGGGCATTCCTTCCTATAATATAATATAACCATAATGTTCATCAAGAGATTATAACCATGAAGACAAAACTAGACTAGAATATGCAATTACCATCAATGTAAAGTTGTCAATAGAAGAAGGCTTCTATGGCAAGTGAAAAGAAGGGCTATTGATAGTGCACAATAGCAACAGTTGGCTGCTACAGAGCTGTCGGCCTAACTTGGATGATTTGCATGCGTTGGTGCTGCAATGCTTGTTGTTTCAAAAGCCCTGTTTTGACCCTGCTCAAATGTTATTTTGTTTTTTTATAGGGGTAAAAATGAGACTACACTCAGGTAATACCTAAAAGATGGAAAAAAAATCCTATTCCACCCTCCCCAATTAGAGCAACAACTATGTCCGCAGGGAGCCAAACAGAGCCTTCACTATTTCTCTTCTCCAGAGACCATCTCTTCTCTCACCTGCCTACCTTTGCTGGAGAGAATCACTTCTCTGGCCATTTTCTGGTGACTGCAACAGTGCAGCCTTCTCTCTTCTCAGGCCATTTTCGGTCTGTTATTGTTTCTTTCATTTCAGTCATTGTTTACTTGTGTGTTTTTTTCCCTAGAACATGTTATTGATAGTTACCAATATGTCATAGATCGTGACATTTTTTAGCATTAGATACCTAAATATAGTAGAAACAGATTATATATATGTGAAAAAACAAATATAGCAGCCATCCTACTATTGTGATTATGGGGTCAGCTACTATTCGGGATTAATAACTATGGTCAAAAGATTGCCAGCCATCCATAAAAATTGTACTTAACAATAGCATGTAAACAACATAAACAAAATGAAACAATAGAAACTGTTAACAAAGCACCAAGGTTGAGACAACTATTCCAGTTATGAATTATGGATTCAAATTCAAAAGCCAACAAACTTAACTGCCACAGTACTCCAGTTCCGAAAAACATCTCCATTAACATGAAGGCAGCAACCTGAAATAACATAAGTAGCATAAATAACTTTGAAAGAAGGAAAAGGACATCAAATGGTAAGTATTGCTAAATGCAATAATACCATAACATCTTTTGATGACAACTGAATGAGAGGGTATCAGATTACAGCAAATCATAACTACTTAATGCTTATTTCCTCGACCCTCAAAAACAGCATTGTGCATCTTATTTCCTTCATCAACAGAGCCTTGTTCACTGGGTATTCTACAAAACAAAAGATATTTGCGTAATGAAGTGATAGAAGATTTATCTTCCAAATTTAATTTTTTTCAGATGTGTTAAACAGCATTAATAACATCATTAAAAACAAATAGCTTACAATTTCTGTTTCTTTGCATTTTGTTTGATTGTTTTAACTATATCCATGGCCATCATCTGGTGCTCCTTTGTTTGCGAATGCAAGTCCAAACCTTCTACTGTTTCACAGTCAACTTTACATATCCTGCACCACCCCATGCTAGAAGCCTTCCTTCTCCTCAAATTATCAAATGATCTTATATCTCCCTGGAAAAACCACGATGGTAACATGAATAAAAAAAAATATTAAAAAATGAACATCACTTCAATATTGCAGTCAATTTACAACAATAAAATACTACATTCCACCCAAAACATCCGCATTCCATCTACTCAACTTCAATTTTCTAACTCTTACCTATATAATAATAATAATAATAATAATAATAATAATAATAATAATAATAATAGCAAATACAGAATTTAGTACAAGGGTAAACAAAACTTAACTGATAAAAATCCAGCATCATTAGGAAATCCTGCAAGAGAGAAGCTGCTCCTAAACCCAGGCTCACCAAGTTGTGGATGACCTGGCCGGTTGCCTTTGTTGAAAGATTCAAAACTACGGAAACCACCAAGTTCAACTGCTCTCATATGACCAGGATGGGCACCAAAACCAACAGGGTCCCCGAGCTGTAAATGTCTAGGAATATTATGTGGACCTAAATGTTCACCTCTCCTAAAATGGCCAGGAAATTCATCTTGACCAATGAAATCACCACTCCTTGGATGTTCACCCATTCGAAAGTTACCAAAACCATCAAATTCATCACCATGTAAATGGCTAGGCAAACGAGGAAATCGACTATCACGGAAATCACCAAAATGACGTGCAACTCTGCCATCAAAATCATCTATACCTGACTTACCAACAAGACTGCCAGAGTGGGGCCCCAATCTCCGGGATGACATCTCAGCATATTCACCAACAGGACTTCTTGGAGCCATACCATCCATATGATGTCTCCCATATCCAGGACCTGGTCCAAGATAACCAGGATGAAGAGTAGAACCTAATTTCTTAATGACATTGTCATGAATACCAACCGGTCTCTTTCCAGCTTCATGTGCCCCTAATGAAAAATTTCCAAATTTTGAAACTGGCTCAGCATCCAAAGGCATCCTAGAAAATTTCTTAAGATCATCATCAAACTCTCTTCTATCAATATTTTGTTGATTTGGCACATGGAAAGGTTTGAACCTTCCATCCTGCAAACCAAAACCTTCAGGGGCATGTGGGGGTACATTGGCTGTCATTCGACCATGCATATCTCCAGGAAGTGGTGCACCAAATTGAGGCCCTCCAAGGCGAGACAAATTGGATGCTCCAGCATGAAAAGGAGGCTCATGGACTTGGTTAAATGGTCGTGGGGGTCCAAGAGACTGAGATTGAAAGCTCCGCCCTGGATTATTAAATTGGATGTCAGAATCTTGCTGTTGCTTAAACATGGTTTGTGGAAAATTCTCTGTTAAGGGCTGTCCTGAATGATGAGCATGGGCAGATCCATGATTCCTAACAAGGGCTGAAGAGTGCTCTGAAGACAGTAACTGATTAGGAACTGTTGGATGTGGCAATTGTGATGCTAACATTGCAGAAGATCTCTGCTGGACAGAAGGAGGCCCATAATTAATCATTTGTTGCTGATGCTTACTCTGATCAGAAAAAGTGGCTGTATGAGACAGCTGGGCAAAACCCCCGTTGCTTTGAGAGACAGAATGTGCGGGATTATCATCATTACCCAATTTATCAGATTCTGAATCAGGGAGTTTTGTCTCTGTCTTCGGTGGATGTCCATCTTGAAATTCATTGCCTTGGACAGAATGCTCATTACTATCATTTTGAACCTCATGCATTGAACCAACTGATTTATTACCAATTGAGGGCTTCCAATTGCTTTCAGCAGACTCCCCCATCCCAAGATTCTTATTCACAGAATCACTATTTTCTAATGCATTGCCATTTGGTACTGAAGTCTTCAGAGAGTGTGGATCTTCATTATTTTGCTTATTCCCAGCCTCAACTGGTTTCAAATCTGTTTCAACTTTTTCAGATTTCAACTCAATTGCTGATCCAGACACTATGTCCAAATCTTTAAAAAATTTACCCTGTTTCCCAGAGGCAGAGTCAGTTTGTTGCTCAACAACATCACCTTGTCTATCAATTGATTCGGGTGCCCTAGACTGCAATTCAGAAGGTAACTGTACTTGATTATTGGTCCCAACCAACAATTTCTGATTTTCAGGCAGGTAGCCAGCACCATTTTGCCCAGGTCTCACTGGAATGGTATTGGGAGATTGTGCAAATGGCTGTAGGTGTCCTGCATGATTAGGAGCTAAAGGCCTTCCTGCAGGATTCTGAGATTGACTGTGCTGAATGCTATTTGATAGTGCAGCATTACCCTGTGACTGCGGATAAGCATGCTTAGGAAATGAATGTGCTGGACCTTGGGGTCGTAAATGAGGTGGCATAGGCATTTGGTGTTGTGCATACGGCTGCTGAGGTATTTGTTGAACGGGTTGTAATGTAGGACGTTGGTTAATTTGCCCAGGTTGTTGATTATGAGTATATATTGGTTGCTGTTGCAGAGGGGGGTTAGTTTGGCCCTGAACGGATGAAGGCAACAAAGCTGGCTGTTGCTGGTTAGGAAACATAGTATGAGATTGATTTGGACGTGTAGTTGGAATTTGTGGAGGGAACTGATTCTGCATCTGTACTGGGTGTTGGGCCTGGGGCTGAGGCCCACTTTGAGCATGCATATGCATAGTATGATGAGGGATTCCTGGTTGCATATTTGGGTGAGGCAGAGGTTGGGGATAAGAATGATGCCCTGTCACTGAATGCGACGTTGCACTTTGCACTTGAGGCTGAACATTGGGAGTCACTGGCTGGTGAGGAGGCATTGGGAGCTGAGACACATGTTGAACTGGAGCATTAGGTTGCAGTTGTGGATGAACTTGAGGTTGGGGAACAGGATACTTCTGAACTGGTTGTTGAATTTGAGGTTGTGAATGCTGCATTTGAGGAAGAGGCTGCTGATAAGGAGGCACTTGCATATGTTGTTGGGGCTGAGGTTGGACAGAATGAGGCTGGACTTGGGGGTAAGGATAAGGCTGAGTTTGAGCCTGAGGGAGGGCTTGCCCATGGCCTGGTGCGTGATTTGTCTGACCATGTGGCTGGACAGCAGGTTGAAGTTGCTGCGGTTGTTGTTGAACTTGCATCTGATTCTGAGATGATGGGGCAACAGGAGCCTGAATATGTGAAGGCGGTTGAGATAGTCCTTGTGCTTGAGGTTGTGGTTGGAGTTGAGGCTGAGATTGGTGTTGGGTCTGTGGCTGGGGCTGTGATTGAGCTTGAGGTTGGGGCTGACCATAGGCCTGCTGGTACTGTGGAACCCCAGATTGTTGATATGGGTAGTAATGTTGATACTGCTGTTGGTATGGATCTTGTCCAGGGTATTGCTGGTAGTATTGTTGATATTGTTGCTGCTGCTGATACCATTGCTCTGCTGTTGGCTGCACAACAGCTTGGGTTTGGGAAGCAGAGTTAGGTAGCTGATTTGAAACCTGCCCAGGCATAGTTGTGACAGCAGTTTGAGAAGTGAGAGCTTGTGAAGCCGTTGCTGCAACTGGAGCAGTGGTCTGGTTTTGATCCGTAGAAGCAACAGCACTAGTAGCTGAAGGATCCTGGGTAATGGCCACCTGCTGTACCTGACCTTGCACACCCTGCCAATCAACAAACATAAGAACCACACAACCAGAAATAGACAGAAGGAACTAATATATTATAAATGGCACATACAGGGCAGTTTTGTGCATGTTCTTGTACTTGGCGATGCACTATTTGGATCCCACACCTGTTGCAAACAACAGGAGAATTGCCAAAGGCACATCCAGAACAATGAGATGTGCACTCAGACAAAGTTCCTTGCCATGTGCATCCACTCCTATGGTAAAGACAATGAACTGCTATTTTTCCAATAGTTTCAGCAAGTGCCTTATTCGACTCTGTCAGAGGCTGCAATTAAGGCATACAAATAATACACATTCAAAAAAGCAATGGGGAAAATGTATATATTGCACAGGAGCACTTTGGAATGAGAAGTAGGAAAAGAACCTTGGAATCTGCCTCAGTAACCAAGTACCCATCATATGGGCAAGCCCTTGTAGTGCTCACAACGTATGTCAAACATGGCTTGCAGTATAAATGAGTACATTGTGACTGTAAAGCTTCATTTGGAAATACAAGCAGCCGACAGACAGGACAGAAGTACTCTCCAGCGAGAGATTGAATGTTCACTATGCACTCATTATCAAATCCCATGCTTACCTACAAGCACAGCTTCAGTTCCAGGCACGCATAAAACCTAAACAAAATTAATTCAATCAAATATACAGTGAATTAATACTTCCAAGCCAGGAAGTATAAATACAACCATGACATGCATGCGATAAGTCTCGGACAAGAGGCTATGATTTTTTTTATTTAAAAAGAGGTGATTATAATACAAAGTATGAAGTTAATTTAAATTGAACATGAAATAAAACTTTTAAACCACTCATGCACACTGCTTAACCCGAGCTAAACCCCCTTGGAATTACAAGATTAGAATTCGTGTCATGAAACGCTAAAATAAAAGTAAACAATTATAAAAGTGCGATTAAAAATATTCAGAGTGTTCAGCAAGGATACGTGGCAGACCTACAACACGACACTGCTAACGTTTACAAGTACCCATGCTTCTAGCTTCCAGCACACTCTCACGTATTTCAAACAATAGGGAGAAGAAAATGGGACTGGAAGTAGGTTACCAGACATTAAAGAAGTGTTATTTATCATTACACATCACGCAATAGGAAAAACAGATGGAATTTACGCAAAGCATTAGCGTGTCAACAAAAACACGAAAACTAATCCAACACGCGTCTCTGCGTGCTGCATCTACCAAATTATCGTGAATGCAAACGAAATGACGATGCAGAGAATGCGGATTCAGGTAAAGGGGGCAAAAACCATGAAGATTCTGCTCTAAACTAAAAATTAAATAAATAAAGGCGTAAAACCTAAAAGTATTCACCAAAAAATCGGCACCTGAGTTATTCTTAGCGACTCCGGAATCGATTCGAAAACCTAAACCTCAAACGAGCTAAAACCTGCTTCGGAAACAAAAAAAAAAAAA